TCAGGCATTCGCACGATATGATCGACCGGAAGAGGATAGGTATAGGGTACTACGGCGTGGCCTTGGCCAGCTGCTTGCATTTGGCCGCCGCCCGCCGCCCGGGTTCACGAGTCTCGCATAAGGCCATGTACAGTGTACGCGCTCGCCCCCGGCCGGCCCACAGCTCACGGACGCACACGCACGCCGCCGGATGCGGCTGCGGCTGCGGTACACACTAGTACACCGCGCGGTGGTGGAAGCGCAATGCTGCATGATGGTCGCCGCGAATGAAACTGCCGGTGTTAGTCATCTCACGCGCGCGCACAGCCAGCCAGAGAGGAGAGTATCTATATCGTATCGCGCTGCTGGTCGCGACGACGTACGTACGATCGAGGGCCCCGCGCCCCCGCGTGGTTTGGTGTGTCTGGCCGGCCGGGTACGTGCGCCGCGCCGCGGGGTGTCGCGCGCGCGCGCCGACGACGCTGCGGCGACTGCCGGTCAGTGCGTGGTGGTGGACTGGTGGTCGTCTGGCATGGCATGTGTACCGTGCGTGGTCTGTGGCTCAACCCCCCACATATACAACCACGAGTTTGGGGCCGGGCGTGCGCGACATGCGCATATATACATGTGCTGGCATGCATTGGCAAACTGGCAAATGTGTGTACCCAATCGGATGGGCCGGGTACGGCAAAGGATGGTAGGATTCGGGGGCATGCACCGCGTGCGGTGCATCACGCGAAGCGCGCGCGGCGCCGCGGCGGAGTAGGACGTCATCACTCACTCACGCACGCCGACAATATTCATTTTTTGTTTATTTTGCATCTCGATCCTCAAGGGGTATATACACGTAACATATGAGCGTGAGACTTGGAGCAGCATAAGACAAGTTTTCCACTAGGTTTAATAATCATATTCTATCTCTAGCTAGGATTATATCTTTATCTATCTAGAGTTTGTATACATCTCGTTATCTTTAACCGTACATATCTGTACTTCTAATGTTCCCCGCTCAGTCGTAGTACATGGGAGCGAAGCGAGCGATTGCGGCCAAATTTAAAAGTCTTGTGCTTTCATCATTTTCTGCTTCACCATCGTCGACTACGTCTCTGATAGATGGTCCTACACCTAATTAAGGCGGTGGAGTTTTTAAAACTCAAAAAAAAACTATAATTTTGGCAATAATGTGTGGTTCTCAAAACTATAAAGCTTGTTGCACCCGAACACTTCATGACACTCCAAACTAAAGTATTTCATTTTCTAAAATTCTAAAAAATACTTTGTATCCAAATAAGGTCGAAGTTTTAGGATTATTAAGGGGTTTTATTTGTTGCCACTGGTTCATGGATGGTCGGGGAGGTCTCTATCTAGCTTGGCAATTGTCATGGTTGTGGAGGGGTGGCACCACTTGCCATCAGCAAGGGTGGAGCCACGTATTGGGCAGGGATGTAATGCAGCATGGCCAATGAGGGCATCGATGTTGTCGTGGTTAGAGGAAGGAGCAACCATCACACATGCATTTGTTGGTGTAGTTGAAGTTGCCATTGTCAAAGATGATGTATAGGGCGAGCATTCTCGCAAAGACAAAGAGAAGAGAAGAGGAAACACCTGAGAAAACTGAGGCAGTGGGAGTGATGCGGAGAATATAAGTAGTGGTGGTGGTCTCCGAAAGGGCTCGCTTTGTTAGGGTACAACATCACTGAGGTATTGGAAATATGGGATACAACTAAGGGTAGCAAATTGTAGCCACAAAGCTTTGTGGAGTCGGGGCAGGTTAAGGTTAGTAGTGCAAGAGGGCAAAGGAGATATATGATATGGATTTGACAAATATTATGGCTCAAATTATAACTTACTATAGCATTGTACTACGCAAATATTATCACACGCTGGTTTTGCGGTTCAAGCAGTGAAAGTGGACGGTGATAATCATCTTTATCACCGTCTACTCACTTCACTCGACTATTAACGGCTACACATTCACGTGATCACATGAATTATTTTTTCTCGAGCGTGCCATTGGCACGGTATTCATTAAGCATGAAGGAGAGTTTTACAAATTAAAATTTGGGATGGTAATTTGTGATTACCGAGCCAAACACCGACAGAGAGATCACAGTTGTGACTTACAAAAGAAAATACTTAGCGACAAAGAGAAGGATCAAGCATAGGGACAAAAACCAGCAGGCCCTGAGCTCAGCGGCTAAAGAGCGTCGTGCTCGAAGCCAGTGAGGTTCAGCTCCATGGCAACCGGATCGAAGTCTGGAGCGAAGAGCGCCTGAAGGGCCTCTTGTTTGGAGGGCGACAACGGCGCAACGAAGAAGGCCTTGATACTGTCCAAAGCCACAGGGTTCGGACCCTGCGGCATATATGCGATCCCTAGCTTTTGCTTGAGCACATTTTGTGCTTGGATAGTCGGGTTGGAGGCCTTGGTCTTAGCAGCCAGCCTCCCACTCCGACGCACCGACATCACCATTGAAGGTGTCCTAGACCTTCTCAGCCTCGGCTTGCTGAGCAACGGGGTCTCGAGCGGGATGCAAAGCCGCGCCTCCAATTGTGCCAACAAGGACACCTCGGGCGGTGCCGCGTTGTCGACGCCCGGATGGCCAACCCGCGTTGGCGTAGAAGCGGCCGCCTGATCCGCAACGCCGTGCTGTCCCACCCGTGGAGGTGTGACTTGCGGCATCTCCAGCTCAGGGGACAACGGGGGCGAATCCGTCATTAGGGAGGCGCCCGCCGGAGTAGTGGGGCACCATGGCGTTGTTGGTCCCGCTGGTCGGGTCGCGATGAGCGAGGCGGTGATCTCCTCCAGCATCGGGTGCACCCACGCGGGAGGCCCCGCAGCCGCGCAGGGCTCCAAGACCAGCGGGTCTGGCTCAAGAAAGTAGGAAGCAGCAGCGGCAGATGCTATGCCCGGTGCCGTCGGAGCGGCCTGTGCGGACCTCCCGATACGCCTTCATCGTTGGTATCGCTGGCCACCGCTGGCAGGAACGACGCTGTCCGGCACGGTCTCACAAGCGCCACGCGAAGCACTGTGGTCCGCCGGCCGAGCATCGGAGTTGCTGGTGGGCTCACTGTGACCCTCCCTGGTAGCACAGTCGGCTACGACAGTAGTTTCCGTGCGCTGCAGCGGTGCCGGTGGCCTCGCCGCGGTCGGCTGCAGCGTCGCCGGGGAAGTCGGTGTTGTGTAGCACCGGTTGTCTCCGGTGTCTTGTCCGCCACTGCCTCGTTCGCCGTCGCTGCCGCCGCCTTCGGCCGACAGACGCAGGAGCAGTCGACGCAGGCGTGGCTCCACCCGCCTCCACCGGACCACCGTGGGTGGGTGGCCGAGGTAAGGTCCCGGGCAAGCGGTCGTGGCCGGCCGCCTGTACCGGTAGCAGTAGGAGGTTTCCGCTGTCGCTGGCCGAGCATCGGAGTTGCTGGCACGAACCGGGCGTGGCCGACGACCCAAAGCGCCGACATCACTCGGGCTTCCAGAGCCGACGTGCTATGGCCACCTGTTGCCGTCGTTCACTAGCAAACGAGGCCGCTTGCAGTCCCTGGCCAGGTGCTGGAACTCATGGCAGTGCAGGCATCTCGGCGGCAGACGGTAGGTGGCAACCCTGCAGGTGTATGACAGGCAGTTGAGGCACCTGTCGCGTAGCGCGTCTGGGATGCGGCGACGTCGATGTGGCCGAGGTGCTCTCGCGACGGCGGTGTTCCACTGGCCAACAGGATTACGAGACAGGACCTCCAGCCATCCGTTGGCGTCGGGTGCTGAGATCCGGCGACGGCCGCGAGGTGGCACACGGTGGCCAAGCCTGAGGTAGGTGGGGACACGCTCATTGCCGGACTGAGAGCCGCCGTTGACCTGATTCCCCAACCTCAAGTGCACAGGGACACGCACCTGGTTGGCACGCGTTGCGGTGTTCGCCCCACGGCCGCCGCCGATAGCGCGGTTCCCCCTCCTCCTCCGGCAGCGCTTCGTACCCGGTGGCCTGGCGACAGCCGAGAACTAGACCGCCTCCACCGGCTGCTCTTCGACGACCCGGGTGCCAGGGTGGGAGATGGGCCTCGCCCTATCTGCGAAGGCCCTCCGAGCCGGGGATCCCTAGTGGACGGCGTCGAGGTAGGATGGCTGCGGCACCGGAGAGGAGATGGACTCGCAGTCTGAGTTAGAGCAGTCCGATAGCTCCGTCCAACGCATGGATTTGGAGCGACCGGGGGTTCCACCGGGGTAGAAAGGCGGGGCATCCGGCTTTGTGAGGCCGCCGGTGCCAGGCTAGCGGCCGTGAAATTTGGTGGCGGGGCCGCCCATGGCGCCGATGTATGTCGTCGCGTCTTGCGTGCGTCGGCCCTTCTGCTGCGTGGTGGGCCACAAATCCGGCTTTGCCGCGGCAGCTGCCAGATCAGGCGGGCTGCGGTAGGCCGGGGCGCGGCTGGCGATCGTGGTGGGGTTCGGCCCCCGCATAGGTTCGCGTGGCCCGGGACCGGCGCTTGCATCTGCGGTGCCCTCGGTGGTGTGTGAGGAGGGAAGGGAGGGAGGGGAGGGAGGGGGAGGGGGGTGGTGGAGGAGGAGGAGGAGGGGGGGCGCCGGCGCCTCGATGGTGGCCAGCGCGCCGCCCGTGAGGGAGTCGGTCAGGGCGTTAGGGCGGGCGGGGAGGGGCTGGAGAATGTGAAGGTCCCTGAACAGAGAGATCATCCTCTCCAACAGCAGATTGTTTCCACTTAAAGATGTCTGCCATCACATGAATTATAAATTTATAATTTACTCCATATCACATATCACATTCACTTGACTACGTCAGTGACTCCCACACTTGTACACATCCAGTGGTCTGAGGTCAGAGAGCACTAGCATACACTACCCTGTTCTGGGCTAGCTTCAGCTGGCTACTAGTCGATACCCTAGCTACTAGAGTTCAGTCACGGGCGTCCCTTACAAGCTCACTCTTCTATAAAACCACACTACCTCTCGAAACCCTAGAGTGCACACTCCGATCCTGCCCTCTAGTAAGTAGTAACACCAGCTAGCAGCCGCCGCCGCCATGGAGGCCAGCGGCAAGAAGCTCCGGCCGTTCCTCCTCACCCTGCTGCTGGTGCTCTCCACCGTCGTGACGCCCATCCTCTCGCTGCCAGAGCCAGACAACGAGGTAGACTGCGACTGCGACAAGCCCAAGGCGCCCAAGCCGTCGCACTCGCACCCGCCCAAGACCAAGCCCTCCCACCCGTCGCCGTCGCCGAAGCCCAAGAACCCCAAGCCACCCAAGGGCCCCGCGTACCCGGCGCCGGGGCACCAACCGCCCAAGAGCCCCTCCTACCCGCCGGTCGTCGGCCCGCCCAAGGGCCCCGTCACGCGCCCGCCGGTCGTAGGCCCACCCGTCACGCGCCCGCCGGTCATCGGCCCACCGGTCACGCGTCCGCCGGTCATCGGCCCACCGGTCACGCGTCCGCCGGTCGTGGGACCACCGGTGACCTACCCGCCGATCACCGGCCCTCCGACGACGCCACCGGTCGTCGGCCCACCGGTGACCTACCCGCCGATCACCGGCCCTCCGTCGACGACGCCTCCGATCACCGGCCCGCCCTCGACGACGCCCCCAGTCACCGGCCCGCCCGTGACCTACCCGCCCGGCGGAGGCGGGGGCAGCTCGACGCCGTGCCCGCCGCCACCGCCGTCGACCCCGACCCCGATGCCGTCGTCGCCGACGTGCCCGGCGGACTCGCTGAAGCTGGGCGCGTGCGTGGACCTGCTGGGCGGGCTGGTGCACATCGGCCTGGGCGACCCCGTGGTGAACAAATGCTGCCCGGTGCTGGAGGGGCTGGCTGGTGGAGCTGGAGGCGGCCGTGTGCCTGTGCACCACCATCAAGCTCAAGCTCCTCAACATCAACCTCTACCTGCCCCTGGCGCTCCAGCTCCTCCTCACCTGCGGCAAGACGCCGCCGCCGGGCTACACCTGCACCGTCTGAAGCTCCTCTCTCAACATTGAAATCCATGAACATGTACGTAGCTATGCATGCTGTTAGTAAACCTTGTGCACATTTTAGTTGGTAGATGCATACATGTTTATCTGTTCAGTTAGTTTGCATGCGCACACGAGCACCAACCGTGGCTGCCGTGCGCGTAGGAGGGCATGGCGCGAATAGCTCGCACATGACCCTGGGATGACCGGTGTTTCAGCGGCATCGTGGGCATGGGGATGGATGTGCTCGTAGCGCGATGCGCTGCTGGCCACTGAGCGTTCCTGCTCTTTGTATTCACAGAATAAAAGGAGAAGCAATATACAGAAAACGCTGCTCAGTTGTTCGCAGCACCAAACTCTCGAGTCCAAGTGATCGTGTGTGTTTGTGTTGTGTTGAGTTTTTCACCGAGCTCTTGTCCTCGCTGCCGGCGTACATCGCCGTCGTCAGGACTGACACATGCATGCATCTCTCTGCACAACAGTGGTTTTAGAGTTAATCTCTCTGCAAGTAGTCATTTTTTGCAAGTGGCATATACGTGCTCTGATGACTGTTTATACGTGCAAATGCAGGGATTTTGGAGTGAGCTAGCATTCATCGGTATGTAGTTCGTTTGAAGAGCGAGAGATCGACATGAGAGGATGTCGTCTGCTTAATTTGTTCGTAGCTAAAGGCTCCGGAGGAGGAACCAGGTCGATCAACGATGGATGGATCGACCATTTTCCATGTTTATTGTTTGTGTCTGTTGTGGTTTCTGCTTTCTAGACGTGTTTTCAGTTTGGTCTCTCGATTCGCAGCTTGATTTGGTTAAGCTTGATTTGTTGCAAGAGGGGTGATGGTTGATTGTTAATAATTCCGGCCCGTTATTTGCCGTGGACTCGATCATGATGGAGAAAGTTCATTATTGGTAGTAGAAACATTGTTGTTGCAAGCAATGCATGCATGTCTTCGATAATTGTTGCACTTGTTTTTATCTGTACTGGTTTAATTTAATTATGCTTGTCCATCTTAAATAAAACTATCTAGTTAATTAGATTTCTCAAGTGATGGGACTAAGATCACGCAGCTTCGTACAAGTACTACGTGAATATAAATTGAAAAGTAAGAGGTGTTGGTGACTGATATATTGCTGCGATTTGTTGTCGTGTATACTCCTATATGAATCTGAGTATCTGACATTTGTAATTGGAAATTTGAATGGATACGAGATAGTAGACGACACTGCACTGCACAGCCACGCAGAGTTGTTGGCTGGCGCCTGCCGGGGCCCTCGGCCCGAGAGATCTCTCACTCACATGCATGAATATACGTGGATATCTAGCTAAGTACCTAAGCTCGCGTACGTACGTACGGCCGCGAAACCCTAGAGAATAGTTTGACGACGACGAGTGCCTCTGCAGTCTGCAACTCTGCATAACGCAGCCGACCGGCGGCACGCCACGATAGGTGCAAAAGTGACGCGCGAGCATGTGTCATTTGGCGCTTTGTCACCCGTGACCGTGAGCGATGGAGGGAGCGCGCCCGGTCCAACGTACGTATACCAGATGATTGCATGCTGGCACACCCTACTTTGCTGCCTGTCCTTGCTGCTGTCTGCTTTACACAACATATGAAGAACTTTGGGGTCCTGGACACCAATCAGCATGGCTGGATGGGCCCTGCTGCTTGGACATGTACATACATAGCATATCGTGCAGTACATGCATGGTTTAGTCCATGTTCAAATGTATATGTTAGCGCTCGCAGAGTTTGGAGGTGGGCTCTGTCAGTCATTTACTCATTGTATATTTGTGGTGGTGGTCTCACTCCACAAGATAAACAGGATAATGGCTCTGTTTATCCACCATGTGACTGCTTTCATCAAGAAAATTAAAACTTGTCGAGTCTCAGATTGATCTTCCAGCGTCCAGCGGTCCAGCGGTCCAGCCTAGCTCTCCCTATCATCCTCGAGGTAGATACGTGTAAGAGACTCACTGATCTTCGGAAATCTTCATTCGGCAGACATTAAGCAATCTACTCCTCTCACTTTTTAAGTGTCGCTTGGATTTCCGTACTAGTCAAACTTACTTATGTTTGACTAAAATTTATATAAAATAATAGTAACATTTATATCTCTAAATAAATGTATTATAAAAATATATGCAATGGTTAATCTAATGGAACTTATTACGCAGTGCTACAGTATCCTCGTGTACGGTACTTGGTCTATTTGTTTTCGGCAATGATAGCGTCTGGACGGACGCACGTGTCAGGACGCCTGTGCCTGCACTCTGTTACACGCGCCCACACGACCACAGGGGGCACACGCCGCCCAATTGTCGACCGCGTCGCCCGACCCCACGCGGGGACCACTCGCGCTCCCTCTGCTTCCCGTGCTCGGACATCTGCGCCTAGTTAGCAGTGCCCCAGCAGCTACAATAGGCGGGCAGGTGGGGCCCCCAACAGCAACACCCGCCAACAGCAACACCCGATCTACTTTTGAAACATCGAGATGGAACATTTGCAACATGCATCTAAAGACAGATGAAACACTTGAAACATACGTCTGAAACATTTGTAAAAAACACATAGAAACACTTGAAAAAGCCATTAGAAAACATATGCAACATCGAGATAAAACACTTGCAAGATATGTGTAAAACATATGTAACATCCACGTAAATACACTTGCAACATAGTATGAAAAAATAGATGAAACATTTGGAACAGACGCTTGCAATATACGTGTACAACCATTGCAACATGTGCAACATCTCGATCTACTTTTGCCACATCCATATGAAACACTTACAACATACCTCTAAAACATCTGAAACATTTAAAATATACGCTTGCAACATGCGGTTTCAATGCAACTTCTCCTTGTTGCTTGGGAGAATGGAGGCTCGTTGGCACGTGGAGTTCAACGTTGCAGAGCTCGCCGCTCCAGTGGAGAAGGTCACGGCAGGTCCGGTGAAGAAGGCCGCGACAGGTCTCCACACTGTGCGGGTGCGTGGTCGAGTTCCATCCCGTCCGTCGCGAGATGCGCATGGATGAGTTCTACCCCAACCACGTCGAAATTTGGGAAGGCAGCGCTTAAGATCTGCTTAGGGGGCTGTTGTGAGTAGACAGGCGACCTCCACCCAGTGCGGTGAGAAGGCAGCCTCGCCCGCCCGCCAAGATGATGCTTGGTGGCCGCTGGCCGGCTGCTGCAGGTGGAGCATGCGCTATGTGCGGTATTTTTTTTAAGAAGCTACGGTGACGAGCAGATAAGAGGGTGTCATGGCTGGCCGTGGCCCACCAGCGGTAGCTTCCGGAGCGGACGGACACCCTGTTCCGAGAATTACCGATTAATTTTTTGTTGTTGCCATGACCAGCTCCTAGTTAGTTTCGGAGACTGTCAGTGTGCGTTTTTTTTCTTTTTACCGGACAAGAGTCCTACTCCTTTTCTGTTTTCCGCGTATCCTTCCACAATCTAAACCTGGTACCACATCACGCAAGGGAGAAAGAAATAGGAGTAGGGAGAAGATGAAAGAGAGAAGTTAGGGTTTATTTGTCATCGTTATCGTCTGCGGTGCTGTTTTTTTTTGAAAAATTGGTTAAGCATAATCTTCTCTTCCTGTTTTTGTCCTCAATTTCTGGTTCCCTCGCTGTTCATGATAGATGTACCACATGCAAGTAGATTGGAACGGTGACCCAGTCATAGTGGCGAGAATCACCGTGAGGTGGAGAAGAGGAAGGAAGGAAGCGAGAAGTGGATCACTAGGGATTGTCATCGTGCTCGCTGTGGTTGTCCTAGGTGAGATATCGAATTATAATCCACTTCTTTCGATCAAGTTTTGTGGATCGAATAATCTAATTAGAAAGGGTTTAGTGAGAGTAATTCCCGAACTTAATCTCGTCCACTGCATGTTCCAAAATCCCGTCAGACTGTGCATGTAACAACCCAAAAATCCACACACCAAAAATCACAACTACAAAATTTTTCTTCAAAACTTCCATGTGTTGATGAGTGTCATGTATAGAAACCCAACCTAAGAGATGCATTAGGTCTAACCCCAACCCAAGACAACACATAAGCATGGCATGCCATATGTTAATCATGTTTATTTAAATACTGACAAAAGAAACATAGCATACATTATTAACTAAAATGGTGATTTGGAATCTTGTCAGTTCTATGTAAAGCCTAACAACTCCTTTAAAGAAATACACCATAAAGTAATTAATACTCAAACCAAAGAATAAAGGTTTAAAGAGAAAACTAATTCTATTTTTGTATAACAAAACCACACCTATTTTTGTTATACAAAATAGCTAAATAAATTCCTAATATTTATATAAGAATGTTGTGGGCCTCATATCTAAAACTCCAATGAATTTGGTGCACCAATTTGAAATTCAAATTTCAAACCAAATTTGAATTCAAACAATGGAGAAGAAAAACAAAAGCAGAAAAAGAAAAGAAGAAAAAAGCCTCACATTGACTTCACGGCATAAGTCGGCCCAACCCACATGACCAAACTACTCGCATTGACCCTCCACTTCTCCCCCCTCCATTGCCCACGCAAGCAGGCGCAGCAGCTTTGTTCATGTGTGACCCATGACCCAGCCAGCGTCATGCACGCCGCGCCTCCCCTTCCCTTCTTTGTCGTTTGCCATTTGGACCCCACCCGTCGGCCTTCTGTTCATCTTCTTCGCCCGCCTCAAGCGCCCACATGACCCGGAGGCCGATAAGCGTGTGGTGAGAGGCAGGCGGGTCATGCGGGGCATGGCCTTGCTCCCCTGCGCCGCGCACCCACGCAACCTCGCGCCACCATCGGATGCTTGACGCGCCTCCACCGCTTGCGATGCCGTCCGCCATTGGAGCTTGGAGCTCGGCTATAAAAGCCCCGGCCCCGGGAGCCCCTGAGCTCGTCCCATCGCCCCGCCGCCACCTTGGTGGCCGTCCACTTCACACCGAGCCAGAGAAGGGAGAGGAAGAAGGAAGGGAGAGGGAGAAAGAAGGAGGCGCCGTCGGAGCAGGGACAACGCCACGATCGGCTACAGC